TGCTGACCGCAAAGCCTCCTGGGGAAATGTAGTTCTTCTCCGACGGATGAACATTCGGCAGATATCAAACCCCACCCCCAGTGCATTACATGATGTTATGGTGTGGAATACTGATGACCAAAAATCATAAAACCATGACACCTTCTGTGAGCCAGCTTGAAAGAGCAACAGCAGACAGTAGCCCTCCAGCTTTTTCACACCTGGTAGCCTCTTCTGGATGTCCCAGATGCAGGCTTCTGGCAGACAGAAAACTTCTTAAACGATTACCTGGGCAGCAAATGGGAGCCTCAGTGCTTCTCAGGGCAAAATCCCTAATCACAAAGATGCTTTGCCTTTTCTTTAACTGCACTGGTTCTAACTCAGATTTTTGGTTGGACCATCCTAACTTGGTTTCTTCTTTCCAGTTCTCAGCCACTGTCCAGACCTTCTTCTCTTCCCATCCCCAGAGCTCCACATCTGTTGCTTGAGAGTATTTCAGGGGCAAGAGAAAGGCTTCTCCTTCTGGCCTGAGTAGAGACAAAGGTCCAGTTTCCCTCATTTTGAAATTTTTTTTGCCATCTGACTCCTTAAGTCCAGAAGTCTGCTTATCTTCTTTCCCTTGCTGAAACTTAAGACAGGGCTGTTGGTCTGGCTTCTGTTACTGTATGACACCAAACATCACAGTCTCTCCAACTGCTGGATACATCTCAGCCTGGTGTTTTCCTCATGCAACCTGGCCACCAGCTCAAAAAGTTGATCAAGCTGGGCACACCCGCAACCATGACACCCCACTCTGCCCTCAGGCTCAAAGTTCTGGGCAGCTTTTGCTCTTGCTGTGCTCCCTACCTGTGTGAACTGTGCACCACACCCTCACTGCCATGCCATGCCCATCTGCATGATCTATTTGTCACCTGTGAAAGATTTTTTGTTTTTGAATCCCTACTTAGTGGTAAGCATAACCCAGAACATCCACTTTGGAAACTAGAGACTTCTACATTAAGTAGAACGATTTATTCTATAACATGAAAGGATGACACTGCTTAAAAACAAAATATTTTTTGTGTATGGCTTCATATTAAAAAGTAAAACTTCATGTAAGTAGCAGATACAATATGAACAGATATTCCTTCTCTTTCAGACTTAAGAAAACCAAAATTAAGACACAATCATTCAGGAAATTATGCATGTTCTCACATAACCTCCCCAACCGGTTCAGAAGCATATATGTCAGAAGTATGTAACTAAGAACAACATACAAATACAGAAGGAACTAGGGAGACAAAGCTGATTATTTTATGCACCACATCCCAGCTATAGTTTCCTTGAGTTCAGTGTTTCATTGCTGGATTGTTAGCTGCATCTGGAGACACTGATGTAAGAACCTCTACAGATGTGCAATTCTGACTTGCTACAAGATCTGAGAAAATCACACTATAACTGATTCAGTTCTAACTCTTTTTTCTGGGAGGACACTGACATGTTTTTGGAAACTTACAGGTTCAAAATAATCATTAAGAATATTCAAACATTTTAACAGTGAGGAAGGAAGCAGCTGCTTTGCTATGTTTTCTAATATTTAAGATAAAAGCATTAAAGAAATTGAAAATTAATACAGTATTTTGATTATTGCTGCAGACTTCAGACTGAAAAACATGATATATAAGTAGTATAGACTTGCAGCAGCTACAAGTTTCCAAAAACAAAATATGCTCCAGAAAGTTCACAAACAATACTGCCAGTGATTAAGACAAAGTATCTGTACTCACCATTTTTTAGGTTTTGATAGTAGTTTATACTTGCTGAATTTTACCCGCCACTCCAAAATACCTTTACAATGCTGACACACTCCATCATGAAGTTTAGAATTTATTTTCTAAATAAACAAATAATAATTAGAATCAGAGAAGCTTTCTTATCTTTATAAGTATAATCTTGCTTAGAAAGCATTTTTACGCATCATGTGATTCACACTGTATTTAGAAAATTATCTGATGTTAATCATTTTATACATTTACCACTTGTTATTTTCTTCAGCAGAAAGAGTGGTGAGGTCACCCTCTACTTTGAGTTTGCTATAATGCTACAATAAAGAAAGCTCTGATGCCTGCTATGTACTGGGAACGAAGTTTGCCAGGAAACACAGTTATTCAGACAACACAAAAACTTTCTGAGAGAAGAAAATCAATAAAAAGTCCTCAGTAGATACCTGTGAAAATGTTGCCAATCAAACAGGTCAGCTTGATCGTGCTCATACTTTCAAAATGCATGCAATTTGAAGATATGCCTTCTTTCCAGTGCTTAATTCGCATAAAGATTCCAAGCAGGATAGCCTTAATAAGCTTCTAAAAATGTGCAAATAAGACCCAGCTTCCCAGTTCTCCCTCTCACTATCCTAATTTGCATTAATTAGTAATGCAGGAGGGAAGACAGACACAAAGGTCATTTGTATTCACAAGCATGCTTTACTGTAATCAACTACTTTTGGTATTGTCAAGGCAGAACCCAATAAACTTAAAAACACTGCAACAGTTCACACTGAAGACAGTTGAAATAACTGCTGAAGAAGTTGCTAACACCTTCTTTCGAAACAAGAGTTAGCTTCCTTGCTGACAAACACCTAGTTTCCAATAACGTGTCATACTATCAGTGCTGGGGACAGAACCCTGTCCCTACGTGACACAGGGATTGGCTCAGCAATGTGTAACACACCTGGAATTTAGGAGGCCACACTGAAGGTGTGCGTGGCGTAAACAGTGCAGAGTAAGGCAGGCATTACTTTCACCTCTCATTTGAAGGAAACTCAAAGTCTGTAGAACAGATATCTTACTTCAGATGCTACTGAATGATTCTTATGGTACAGTGAAATGCATATAGTTATTATTAATAGCACTTCTTCTCCTCCCTTTCCCCCCCTTCCACTCCCATATCTCATACAGCTCCTGAATATATAATAATCACAGAATCACAGAATCACAGAATTGTAGGGGTTGGAAGGGACCTCCAGAGATCATCGAGTCCAATCCCCTGCCAAAGCAGGTTCCCTACAGCAGGTAACACAGGTAGGCATCCAGGCAGGTCTGGAACATCTCCAGAGAAGGAGACTCCACCACCTCCCTGGGCAGCCTGTTCCAGTGCTCCGTCACCTCACCGTAAGAAGTTCTTGCGCACATTTGTGCGGAACTTCCTATGCTGCAGTTTCCGGCCGTTTCCCCTTGTCCTTCTCCACTCACCACTGGAAAGAGTCCGTCCTCGCCATTCTGCCCCCCACACCTTAGATATTTATAGACCTGGATCAGGTCCCCTCTCAGTCTTCTTTTCTCAAGGCTAATCTTCCAGTCATTAGTTTTTAATTTTATTTTTTATAAAACAAAAAGGCAGATCATGCTGAGTTGCAAAGATGTCTTTTCACATTGCTCATAAGACAGCACTCAGAATGCTTGGAAATGCCTCTTACAGCAGGACCAAGGACTTGCCACATAGCATATATGCCAGCTTTGTTTCGAACAAGTTCCAGAGTCTTATCTGAACTCATTCTGAACTCCTCCCTCCAATTCTCTAATTCACTGTTTCCCCACAGAAACTCTCTCATGCATTATGAGTAATATATGAGAAGCTCAAAAAGTAAAGTAATTCCATTTCATAGTAACAAGCACATTATCTATGTAAAGTCTGTCAACCTCTACCAGGTACAGAGCAGGTCTGTATATTTAGACTGTTTTTACACAGTCAAGTTTCAACTATTCCACATTCCTGGTTCGATCAGTCATGCTCCAAACATTCAGGACAAAGCTACAAATTTGGCTGTAGCTACTGTACTTCAGTCCTGATCCAAGGCACCTGGACTTATCAACAGCCATCTGTAGGACTACGAATTTAACAATTTGGAATTCAAAGAAAAACGAGGAATCTGCTCAGAAGTTGGCAACTGGAAGAAAGACAGCAGATTTTAAGTTTCAACTTCATCCTTCTAACAGGCACACATACAGCACAGTACCTTCCTCCTCTTCAGCCATGTCCTTTATTTTTTACTCAATTTTGGCACTGCAGGTATGGGGTGAGATGGTTAATCATTGGCTCAGCATATCTGAATGGGAAACCAATTCTAACATCCTTCCACTAGCCAGGGAATTAGAAAATCAAAACAGAACGATGGATTGATGTAAAGCACATTAAGCCGCAGATTTACCCAGTTAAATCTTGATTTGTGCTTGTCTTCTAAGTTTATCTTGCTCATAAATAGTACCTGATTTTCAAATCTTACTAATACAAGCTGCTTTTCATGAGCAAAACAGACTTGATGAAGCCAATAAAATTGTGCAAAATTAAACATTTGGATCATTTTTTTTATTATTTTTTGATTGAGAAACATGTAAGATCAAGTTCCCCTCACAAACATGAAGAGAAACGTCCCTTCTATCTCAGCCATAACATGGAAATTAATAGTAAAATAAATTTCTCTGTTGCTTGTTTTTCCCATTAATATTCACTCTTGTATGTATCTGATACATTTCACATATTCAGACTTCTTTCTTTTCAACCATTTAATAGCTTGCTTTCATCTAACAGTATAAAAAACCCAACTACATACACAAAGACCTGAAATAGGATTTCAAACATCTTTTCCATTCAAACTTTTTTTTTTAAACAGCTTTCACTCAGCTTTCTCACACACAACAACATGGTAATGCTTAATGCTTCTGGTCTGAAATGTTTTTTCTAGGTGTGAAAACTACTCAGATTAGATTCTGTTTCTGTCACAGCCGTTTTTTACTTTCATTTCCCTATTTTACATACTAGCTCTTTCCTCTTCCCCTTTACCATACTTCCTCCAATATCAGGATAGCTCATTCAATGCTTGCAGTACTTCTGTATGTTCTCCAAAGACACAGCAATTATGCAAAGCTGGCATATATAAACAAGTCTGAAGTACGCAGTCACAAAACATTCCATGTGCATATAATATACACAGTCAGGTCAACTGCATCAATAAAACAGCATCCTCTGTATGCTCAACTAACCCAACATTAAAACATTTAACAATCTGCCAAAAGCAGTTCAGAAAGTATTAAAGTAAACACATGTGCCTACACCTACTAACCTGGCTCACAAAATGACTCCTAGCTTAAGCTTAGCATTAAAGAAGCAGTCACAAGGAGGATGTAATAATAATGGGGTTTCAAAGATGCCTCACTGTCTGTCTGGAAGTTTCTAATTATGTGTGCATGCACGTGTGTTTTGATTCATTGCACTGACAGCAGACTTCTACGACACATCAGTGGCTTATTCTACTATAAATCAACACGGCATCAACGCTATCCAAAATCTTTCTTCTCATAAGAAACAGCAGATACTGATTGGATCAACAAAGCTGAATGCAACATTTCTGAGTGACTGCATTCTTAGAAAAACAAGACTCCACACAATCTCCAGTGTACAACTACAAAGTAGTTAGAACAGAACAGTGCAAACTAACAGACAGAAACTCGGTGATAGAAAATCCTTGTATTAGCTATAGTACATGCCTCACAGACTGAAATCAGTTTCCCCAGCAAACTTCACTTGCTCACATACAGCATATACTGACTTTAAAACACACGAAATCGAAATCTTCCTTTTAAGCCCAATTCCAAACGGCCTTCTTGATCTCCAAGACATTCAGCCTTTTTTCACATCAGTGGAGAGGTTCTTAATAACTTCATTCTCCAAGAACAACCACTTATCTGAGAATGTATGAGACTGTGCATATTTAGAAGAACTTACAATGCGCATATGTACTGTGTCTACCTTCAGCGCAGTCTTGTCACAGTCCAAAATATATGTTCAGTTTACTTCTCTTCTACCTACACGAAAGACTGCAAGATAAGCCTGAATTCACTTTCAAACTCAGAAGAAAAGGAATAGCTAGAAAGCAGACTTTATTCTGCCAAGTTGCCCTATGTTGCAGCAAGACAAATTCCAGCAGTGTTATCTGTCACTTTGGCTACCAGTGCACCTACATCTTCCCTTCTGAACTTCTAAGTCTCATTCATTGACTCCGCAATTAAGCCTCTTCCCAGTGCCTTCCACAGTCTTGATCAGTGCCTCAACTAAAACAAATTATCTACACAGCCAGCTGAAGAAGTAGCTAGCATCAGCATAATGGTAAAGTTGAGGTTCAGAGTTAATAACCTCTGAAATTTTGGAAAATCTGGATTATCATCTGGAGTGTAATTAATGAGGGGAAGAAACTGAGAAACCGATCAGTCATTTGGGTGTAAATATGAATCATTTTGTGGCCTACCATCTCATTACAATGGAGTTCTAAATGTTCCTATTGAACACTGCTTTCTTTCATCTCTAGAATTACCTTTATTTCCAGTTTCCACACTGTCTTAAGTAATAATAATAATTAAGAATTTATGTTTATATAACATAATGTATAGTCCTCAGCTCAGAGTCACAAGCAGCTGTTCCAGAATATACTAGGTAAAGCAATCGCCCACAAACAAAATTCCCAATTTCAATAACTAACAGCAGTGTGTTTTATTCTGTCCAGCCCTTCCTTCTTCATTCATCCCAGCATGCAGGCTTTCCCAGCACTTCTTAGGCAGCTACCCAAACATGGGTCAGATGTAACATGCACTGTTTTCAGCTCATCTAGCCTATCCCAAAGTAATGCAGGCAGTAGGGCCTGGTCATTAGGAGAAACACAAGTGCCCTTTCAGCACGTTCTACAAGTAATCGTAACTAGTCTTTAAGATTAGAAAATGGATGCCAATTCATTTCAGATAGAAAGTATAAAACCTTGCAAAACAAAACAAACAAGAAATAGCAACAAAAAGTAATGACTATTATAGTAATTTCCTCTTCAGCCACTTATTCACAGAGAAGACTAGAAATAGACGTGAAAATAACGACCTCAGCTTGAACCACAGGACAACCTGAGCTACCGAACTTGATATCCAGCATTGCTAATGCAGTGCACACATGCAGAAAGATATGAATTTTAAGCTAAAAATAATTCTACAGACTGAAGATGGCACTGAGCTGCACTGTGTACAACAGTAGCTAAAGACAGGCCACAAACTTAAAATAGCAGTGATTTACTGGAGATCCACCCACTCAGCAACTCAGCATTCTAAACTGATAGCCAGTAAGACATGGAAAGGAGGAATGTCCCAGTTCTGTGCCATGATCAAACTGCCACCTTCTTCCTTTGTCTCATTACAGCTTAGATGTCTGTAGTCAATGTGATCACTCAGGACCACACGAGTACATAGAAGTGACAAGAGAAGCAAAGTTCTTGCCAATATTCAGCATGTGTGGAATTACATTAGTCACTACCTGAATCTTGTTAAATATCTTTTCAAGTTTCTTAAAGGGTAGAATCAAGCCAAGTTATCATTATAATGGCCTCTGCATATTCTTTATTAAAAGAAGGCAAAAATTTGAATTTGTATACAAAAGTACAACACAAGAAAACAAACTTTCTTTCCCACTACCCTGTAATAGGAAGCAGCTTCTTCCCTATATTCAGCAATCTCCAAGAACTGGCAGGTACAAAGAGGAAGAAAGCACTTCCTTGGAAAAGAAAGACACAGTTCCACATTGAATTCAGTTCCTGCACTGAATCTTGACTGTGTTCAAACGATGCTTTTTTAAAAATGTATATTTATGTAAGTTCATGGCACTGTGGAGCCAGTTCTCTCAGATATCAAATATACTAAAAAACAAACAAACAAACAAACAAACAAAAAAAAACAAAAAACAAGGAAAAAAAATACCAAAGTGTACTTTAAAGAGATCGTTTCAGTTACAAATCTGAACTCATTTTCTCTTTAAGGACTTTTCTGATTGACCTGCTCTCTAGGATATTTCATACGGATAAATACAGGAAAACACATTTATCTGTACAATCGGAGATCACAAAGTGACTCAAACAATTAATAATACTGGTGATGCTTGGAGCAGGAAAACAGCCCGTTCAACTTGCAGAACCAGTCCTACAAACACTTGGGGAAAAAAAAAAAAAGAAACCACAACCCTTTGGTGCCACTGTTTTTACTTAGCAGTTTATTCCCCTCCTCTCAATTCTTTCTGACAATCTAACCTATTTAAAGGGACACTGACAGAATGACAACAGCGCTACATATTCCTCCTCCAGAGTGCTCATCTTGTGTTTTGTTTTATTCACATTTCTCAGTTTCATAAGGCATTTTGTCATATAACCAAGCACCTCACTGCAGTGACGCTACTGCTCAGCACACTGTGTGGTCTTCATCCTCACAGCACCATTATGTTGCCACAACTGTATGTAGATAGAAGGTATTCCAGGAATACATTGTGAACCATTTCCTTTGCCTTTCTTGGAAACTAATTAAAAGACAACAATGGTGTTTTGTAACAATGGTGTGAAATATCAGACCACTGCCATGCGTGCAGCAGAGGCCCTGATGAAGCAGCAGGAGGCACCTGTGTGGAGCCACCCCTAAGCACACCACCGGGTTTATTCAAGCCTTAAAGCAAACATGAGTGCTTTCTCAGTTGTCTCAAAAGCATGACTTGTCGTGTAGAGATGATAGCTGAAGTCGCTCAAAATTAATTTCGACAAGGCTGAGATGTCAGAAATAAGGCGATACAATAGAGATCTTCAATGCGAGCACCTTTCCAGAAGCCGGGCTGCCAACCCCGCAGACAACTCTGCACTCACAGCGCAGAGGCGAACACTTTATTTCAGCTTTCCTTTCTTACATGGAAGTGACTCGACGAACATTTCTCACTGTAGGTTCCAATCACCACACGAGGCCTCGGCTCCTGCCGCCCCGTCCGCCCCGCCCCGCCTCTGACCCCGGGTGCCTCCCGGGCCTCCCTTCAGCCCTCACACTTCCCGGCGGCGGGCCCAAGGCCAGCTCCGACCCCCGCCTAGGCCCAGCCCTGCGCCTACCTTCAGCCGAGCGCTGGTGTCGTACTTGTCGTTCCTGAAGGCGCGCGCGTTCTGGTGGCGCTGGGGCCGCCTGCGCGCCACGTTCCCCTTCTCGGAGCTCATTCCCCCGGCAACCGCCGCTGCAGGCCGCGCGTGCCCCGGAACCGCTCCTCCCCCGACCCTCCATCTGCCATTGGCAGAAGCAGCCATCCGTTAAGCTCGGTCCGCAGCAGCGATTCGCCGTCCGCTCACCACGTCCCGCCCGCCCGTTCTAAGGCGGATCCCCTGCGGTCGGAGCCGCGTTGCGGGCCGTGCTCCGATTGGCGCTCGGCGGCCGTTGGTCACCGCGCGGCCGGCTCCGCCCTGCTGCCCCTTTGGCCGCCGCGGCAGCCGCCGGGTCAGATGCAGCCGCTCCGCGGGGCGAAGTCGGCGCCGCTTCCCTAAGCTGTTCGGCGAGAGGCTTCTGCCGGCCGCGCGTCTCCTTCCGAGTGCTGCGCGGGAGGCAGCAGGCACCGCTGAGCCGGCAGCCGCCGACAAGCCGTTACTCAGCACAACCGACGTCGCCGCGCCCGGCGCTCGGACGGCGGTGGTCGGGAGCGCGCGGGGTCACCGCTGCCCAGCGAAGGGGAGCCGGGAGCCCCGCGCAGGTAGGGGCTGGGGACGGCGGGCCGAGCTGAGCCGAGCTGAGCCGCGCTGGGGGCGGCTGCAGCGGGGGCAGGGAGGGAGAGGGAGGGGCTGCCGGGCAGGTGAGACGTTCCGGGTGGCTGCGGCGAGGGGTAGGGGCGGGCGGCGCCTTCTCCCGTTGCTCCGCCCGCGGGGTGCTGCGGGACGGCTGCTGCCCCGCTCACGCTGGGGGCGCCTTTGTTCGAGGATGGAGCAGCTGCTGCCCGCTGGCCTCTCCCGAGCTGTGCGTCCTCAGGCCCCGCGCTCTTAGCGCCTCTGTCAGCATTGCGAGCTGCTGGGAGCCGTCTGGGGAGATCGGGTGTTGCAGTGAGGGTGACTTACTGCGTTTTCTCGGCTCCTGCCCCTGCCGGCGAGGGCGAAGCTGGCCTTAGCCTTGATCTCGAGCGGTGGTCGCTTAAAAGTTTAACGCCTTCAGCCCGGAGGCAGCCAGTCGAAAACACACGGTTTGTTTGTTTGTAACCAGTGTGTTCCGAACTCAAGTTCTATTCTCATCATGCCTCTGTACGGTGTGGCTGTTACTGTTGCTTGATTTTTTTTTTACTTGTATACCGGTTTACTTAACATTTTGACTGTAATTGCGTTGATAGGTTGTTTGTTTTTTTTTTTTGTTTTTTGTTTGAGAAGAGCTTGGAGGATTAATAATACTATCTTGGGTCGTTTTTCGTTACTGAATAAACTTCCTCAGTGTTATTTTCTGGACGTTCATTCTTAATAGCACTGTGTAGGGTGGCTAAACTAATGTAGCTTACTTGTATACCGGTTTACTTAACATTTTGTTCCTTTATGTGTTGAACTGATGCATGTTGAACTTGTATTCAAACCTTTCTTTCTGTAGCAATGTACACAGGTGTTAATGTTAAAGTTTCAGTAACGGTTTGAGCTACAGTTTTCATTGCCTTGCCTTCAGTAAAAGGGATAGGCATTCGAGTACATTATTTCAGGATTGCATAATGAAAAAATGATTATTCATAAAAAACAGCACACCACAATGTGAATGTCTTGCTTGTTGCAAAGTTAGGGCAACAATAAGGTTTACAAGCTGGCGGTAGTGCTTATGAATTTGACTTTATTCTTTTGAATTGTTCTTATGATGTGAGTAATTTAGTTTAAATACAAATTTGCATTAAATCTGTAGAATTTTAAATGTAAGATTTCTAGATAAGTGTTTGCATGGGCAGGGTTTTTGAGGCTAAGATGCTAATATGTAGTAAAGTACTTCAAGATGTGAATAATACAAGCCAATCTGATTTACAGAGGAACAAGCACAAGAATAATTGCTTATATGAAAGAAATATGTCTGTATTATCCTAGGAGTAGCAATATAAATATTTAAGGTGTACTTTCAGATTAGGTGGATTTTTTTCCCCTCTTCTGTCAGCCTTGATCATAAGGTTAATTGCTGAATTTAACTACTGCCTGTAGGCAGTTCTAAATTTTCCTTCTTGTATGCTACTTTTTAATTATTGTTATTATTCATGAGAGAGATAAATTTCATAAAATGGTCTCCTCTTTCTTTTAAAGGCTATTCTACAAAGAGCAGTCTTGTCACTTGAGTCTGTTTTGTTTCTTCACTTTTCTTGGAGTTGTAGTAAAAATCATGCATTACAGTTCCTTCCACAATTTTTCTATTATATCTGCATGAAAACACAGTGTTCTTTATATTTCTAAAGGATATTTGCATTTCTCTTTCTACATTCTTTCTGTTATTAATAACTTCACCAGCATTGGGAACTATGTTTGCAGGGCAGCGCTGTCATCTTTCCTGTTACGTTGTTGAAATGTGTTATCTTTGTATCTGGAGATTCTAGTGTTATGAGGATAAATTTTCATCATGCATTCTCAAAAGCAGTTAGGTTGTGACCTGGGTGTTCTCTGCATATGTTAATCTCATTACTAACATTACTAACCTATCCTTGTGGTAATTTCTGGTGGGAGTTGATTTTATCCTGGTTTTAGTGATGGAATTCATGTGAAGTATACTCAAGCCTTTTTGTTATTGGTTTGGTATTTTTTCAAACAGTATCACCTATGGTATTTAGAGTTCCATAAATTATATAGTAGGCTTATTAGAAGCCCAGAGGTTTCAGTAATACTCTGGATGTCTAGATGGGAAATTTGAACTGCTTTTGTGAAGACTTGGCAGTAAATGAAGACTTACTTAATTTTTTTTTTTTAAGTTTCATCTTAATTCCTGTGTTGGGAAGTCATTAAGAAATCACGTTGAATGTCTTCCTAACATTTAAAGGAAACAAACTTTAATCACTTCACTGAAGTATCTTACCTGTATACCTTCTGAGGAATGATAATGTCTGTTCTAATTGAAGTTATGACATCACGTGCATATCTACTAGGCTGAAATGCTGATTCAATTGTACTTTTAAACAGTGATATCAGAATAACACTGTGCACCATGGGGATTCTCACATCCTGGTTCCATTCCAGATCCAGAGGTAAAGAACGCACTCATGTGAATACAATGAATGACAAACCAGTTCCAGTATAATGAAAACACTGTTTACATGTAGTTGGCGGTATCCTCCTGAGGAGGACCAGTAGGTGTTCTATGACACATTTGTTCAGTTAGTGATGCTAGGGATCTAATTTTTTTCTTCAGTTTTTCCAAGAAAAGATAGCAGCGACTCTTTTCTTTAAAGCAAAGGCTGTTGCTGGCCATGATTCAAGTGGAGAATGGCTCAGGAATAAGAAACTGAAGTTTCAATAAAGATTAAATGGGCATTACATAAAGTCTACAGTACAGTCTGGTACAAGGAGAGAAATTATACTTTATCCATTTTCTTCCACATATTTCATTTGTCATATGTGGCAGCAACCCATATTTAGCACATTTAAGCTATGTTGGGGGCCCTGTACCTCCTCAGCTGATTATCTCTAATTATTGCAGTAATGTGAATTCCACAGACCAGTTAAAATTACAACAGATAGCAAATACTTTGTGTGAAATCTTATTTGTAGTGTTGCAGGGCTGTTTATGGTTATAAACAATGTAAACTTCTGGCTTCAGTTCTTTCTGACATGTGGTTTATAAAGGAAGTAAGAAATTTTGCAGTTATTACTTTATGTTGGAATGGAATGCAATCATCTATTCTTGGACACAAGAGGCTGTTTGTACCTTAGTTTTGAAGGTTCTGCTACATTTTTTCCAATGAAATGAAAATTCTTCCCTCCATCACAAAGTACACTGTATTATCTAGCTTTGGCATTCAAATTTTCCGGAAAAGTGGGAAAAAAATACTCAATAGTTTCTATAGAGGTAGAGGTGTGATTGAATACTGAGTCATTGGTGATGTTTGCAGAACTAAAAAAGCCTCTTGAAGTATTACAACAACACTGTTGTTCAAAGTCTGCGAATATGAGCTTTCTGATTAAAGTGAAGAAAATGGTTCCTTTGGTGCTCACAGCCATGAGAGACACAAAGCAGGAAATAAATATTTACCTGTTCTTGTACATAAGATGTTCAAAGCCTTTTGAAAGTCTCTGGACATCTTCGGTAGGTCTTTCCCACTTGTCTTTATTTGCATGTTGAAAGTAATGTCCAATAATGTCACTTGAAAGAGAGCAGATGAGCAATTACAAGTTAAGTGACTAATTTGCTTATTGCATTAATACATGAGTCTATTTCCTTAACTGGTAGGTCGTATACTCCAGATCTGTTCATTAAGAGATAACTTACCTTTTCATGGCAGCTGATGGGCCCCATTCTCCTGTAACTGGTTACGTTGACAACTCTGTGATTTCCCTTTCTTTTGAAGAAAACTAGAGACTTGGGGTGAAAACACCTGCCAAAAAAAAAAAAAACCCAAAAAAAAACAACCAAGCCATTGTTTTATGCTTCACAAGAAGCAGTAATATTTCAGAAACACACATCTTGTTTATTAGACTTGCTGTGATTTAGTTATCAACGAATATGTTCTATGATTGTGTAGTTCTATATGAGTGTCACACATTGTACTAAGGGAAGAGACCATTCATACAGTCAAAATAAGGCTAACTGTTCAGTCATCTGTATTCAGAAGTTCTTATGGCAGTGCCCTATAAAACTTTTCCAAAGTGAAGTGTATACAAGTTAAAGAACAGACTGAAATGTATTTTGATGTTGCCAGGTATCATAGTTACAGTAAGACTTTATTGTTGACTGACACAAGGGAATTGTTGCCTGAAACCACAAGGGAATGTGACATCAGAAGTTGGCTTTCTGTTGTTGTTATTCCTGTTTTTAAGCTTGACTCTAGCTGTCAAAGCTGGTACATGAAATTGTAGGAGAGTTTCCGTTTGCATGACCAATAGGAACCGAGCATGAGACCTGTAGCAGAGCTGGGGTGGAAAAGTTCTTTGAGATAAAACATCAGATGTGTTCACAACAGGAAAGTAAATACTTATGCTAGGTGTGCTGATGTACTTCATGGTTCTTGGCAGATTGTCATTCTCCAACCTTCAAGG